TTTACATATCTGGCGTGAATTTTTAAGTGTTTTAATTTGAAACATATTTTTAACTTTTGTATATTCACTCTAAATTCACTTATTCTTGTACATTCACTTTAAATGATATATTTATTGTTTTTAAATAACAATGGAAATTTATATATATATATATATATATAAATATATATATATGTAGCTAAAATGAATTAGATTTAACATAACTCGATAACTTAAGAATTCAAATGCTCTTAAAATGCTCGTAATTTAAATTATAAAATGTCAAGAGTTTAAAGTCAGGCATCCTGAGAATCTGTAATGACCTAAGACTTTAGAATTTAATTAAGGTAATGGAGTTTTTCTTACGTGAGTTTAAAATTTAGCTATAATAATTGCATACCATGAGAATGAACGAACCTGAGATTCTAAACATTTCATTAGATTTCATCGAGGTCTTTACATCAGTATATAATCTTACGATATGTGAGTTCTATATAGTAATGAAAAAATATTCAAATATTCTAGAAATTATTTCGAAAAAATATGATAAATTTAAAAAATAGTAATATAATTACCACAAATTGTACAATTTCAAACATAGAGAATGCTGTCGGTTGCTGTCGGACTTTATCTGACTATTCCATAATTAATTAAACTGTTTTTGTGTACGAGAGTGCCAATGTGAAATTGATAAAATTATAATTTCGTTCCACTGAGGAATCACGACATAATTCTCATCGATGTAATTAATGCGACCACGACGTAATCCTCATTGACGAGCCGAGCTAATTTATTGAATTCACTTCTCGATCGGTGACCTCTTACAGTTTTCATAAATTATTGTTAACAAATATTTTTTTACTAATGATTTATTGAAAACTATTTATCAATTTTTGGTTAGAAAAAGTAATTGAACAATTGTCAAGATTAACAGACATCAATAAAGTAAAATAAATTAAGCTCTTTTTGGATCTCATTTTCTTTGGGAAAGAAAAACTCGCCTTGAGAAAAACATGTGCACTTTTATAAAATTTATAGAAAAAAAATATATTACAGTACACGTTAAGTAGAAAAAAATATATGAAAAAGTAAATTGATAAAAATTCACCAATCGAGAGGTAAACGTAATTCGCGCGACGGGGATAGTCTGTTCATAATCATATCTGTGACATCGTAGCTATGAAAATCGCGAAGGTCCGATTAACTCGTAAATTCATTTAGTAATTAATAATTGATTAGCCAATATAAATGCGATCGATAAGGTATGCCCGATCATCGCGGTCGCGTTTCCGAGATTCCGAGTTCGCGCGAAATTCTCTTCGAGTCTCGCGTTGCCGAGCGTATCTAGAATAGGAAAACGATTAATCGACGAGGCACACACGGGGAAGGAAGAAAACGACGATATATGTTTTAGATGGATAATTCTGCGTACGTACCGAATCACCTACCGCCGCCGTCTCTGGTCGTGTTCTCGCAGGCCGGAGGGCTGCCTGAGGCCTTGAGAATGCAAAGACCATTCAATCCACAAGTTAGTGTCCCATTGTATCCTTACCCTTACGCCTGTAAGCCTCTGCATCAGTTTGCATTTACGCTGCGTTTCGCTCACCTGCGCAACACGCGCTGAAACGCGATTTAACCCCTTGTCTCTCCGATAAAGATTCCGATTTTCGACACTCGAAGACTCTCATGTTTTTTACGAAAAAGAAAATGTCATTGTGTGAACATATAAACTCAATCATTCGAGATATGTCACTTTAATTTTGAGTGCGCTCGATTGAACTTGATACATCTATATATTTATCATGAATTGCTCACGATAGACGTTGCGTAATTAATTATGTAAGAAAATGGATAATGGTTCGTGTAATTTTTTAACCATATTGAAATCGACGAAGGAGATTTATTGGAGAACTTGGAGGGTTAAATTACTTTCACGCTTGTATCATGCAGAACGAAACTGCACTACGGTAATTCGAGCGTATCGTATTTGACGGTAACATACGTCACTATTTGCCAGAAATGCAACTTGAAATATGTACAAAATAAACAAAAAAAAAAAAAAATAATTGCTGGCGTTGATTTCGATGAGCCCCGTCGGAACTGCTCGAGTTACTTCCATCTCGCTTTGCATATCTGTGCCGCTTTATATACGCGAATACTAATTAATGCACGCAATGAATAGAAATTTGGTTGTGTGCGTGTGTGTAAATGTGAATGCTCGAATAACAATTAGTATCAAGTCAATGATGCACAACTTTCTTCCGCCGAACAAATTGTTGCCTTGTTTTAGGCAACAAGTTCATTTACGAACGATATTTATAAAGTAAAAAGAATACAAAAAATATTTTTAAAAATTTAAATAAAATATAAGTCTAAAAAAAAATTAAAGCCTATTAGTCGAATAATTAGTAAAAAGTAAGAAGTGTTAAATAGCGCGCGCGTCACACTAATTAGTCAAATAGTTAAACTATAAATCAAATAGTTATATATATATATTAGTTTTATATATATAGTATATATATATAGCATATATATAGTATATATATAGTTTTATATGTGTATATATTTGTTAAAAATAGAAGTAAACAAATTAAGAGAAACATATTATATAGATTGTGCATCACTGACTATGTAGAGTATAACATTAAAAGAAAAGGAAAATAAAATTTTTAGTGGGATGCAGTAAGTATTTTGACACGATCTCAACCATCTGTGAGAACTTAACGAATTATATTATATTATTCACGGAGCAGCTGCGAATTGTTTAATAATCTTCAAAGAAAATAAAATTGATTGTTAAATTATATAATGATATTTTATTATGTTAAAATGTGACATCGGCTTTTGTAATTTTCTTATAGCTGTTTTCAAATTTTATATAGCGCAATCAAAACACGCGCGTATCGATAACGAATTACCGAAAATACCGTTATTAAACTTCCGATAATAATAAGACTCTTTTAAATACAATTTTATATTGCATACATTTCTATCTCATAACTGTGATTGCCGCAAATATTTAACGAACGGGCGTCGCGGTTAATTATAAGCGTATTCCACAGCGTTTTTAAATGCTTGAATATTTTTCATACGTGCGGGACATCAATCGGGTCCGGATAACGCGTGCAGATGCGGAACGGTAGATACGGATAGCGATGGAGTGAGGGGGACAGCGAGAGAATGGGTTGCATCAAAATTCAGCATCGTTAAAAAATGAGATAATTTCGGGGCGAACCTAATTGTGGTGGCGCGGTGACAAAATACGCTCGTGTTATATAACCGCTCGCGAAAGCGAGTGGAGGGGGGGGGGGCAGGAAAAAAAAATAAAAGATTATTGCAAATATGCAAGCGACCTGCGTCGCGCGACACCGATCGCGAAAAAAGGGCCGGGACCGCAATTAAAATAATAATGAATACCTAATAAATCACTGATTGGACCGCGGGCGCAAATATGCCGGGCCGGCGAACGCGAACCTCATTTCCCCGTGTATAAAAGAATAATAAACTAATCGCGGCGCACTAATACCCGCGCGTGTAACTCATCGCCCGCGTCATTATCGGCCGAATGAAATGTTTATCCGGAAACCAGCTGTCCGTTCTCGTCGATGAAATCATTTCGTACTTCCGTAACGTTCCCTTATAGTCGCGCGGAGTGACGAGTAACACTTTGCGATTTTATATATAATAATTCGAGACGAGTTCGATACTGACAATATAATAATTCTGCAACCATCGCGAAAACTGCGATAACAAATTTTCCAAGTTAATATTAAGAAAAAAATCAATCCTGTTAAAACTTCAAATGGGAAAAAAACATCGCAACTATAATCCTGGAATATTCAAAATAATAAAAGTAATGCGAATAATTTTTTTTAAGCTAAATTTTTTGGACTGTTACAAAACACCGTAAACATAACAATATTTTCTTTCTATTTAACGAATTCTAGAAATGACTTTTTGAATATTTTTGAAATATGATGTTACGCCATATGAAGTACTCTTGCGTAATTACGCGTTGAAACACTCGCATGTTACTCGCGTCATTGCGTTTTTCGACAAGTCGAGGCATAGGAAATACAATGCACCGTTATTACTTTGGCCACGTTTAATACGATCCGATAATTCTGGCATTATAAATGTTACAAAATCCAACGCGTAGATGCTTCAGCCGAGCATTCAGTATGCGGCTTAATAGACTCGTCAATCACGGCGAATTGAATGATACAACCGGTACACCGGGGGTGGTACGGGGAGGGGGAGGGGGGCCGTGGGGGAGAAGAGCTTCAGGTTTTGACGGATTATTATAACACAGTGGTTTCGCGTTATTAACAGTATACCACCACGCTGCTTTGATATTATATGCCATTCAGACGTAGCTGAAAGCGCGGAAATACCCTCATACTGCAAATGAGCTATCGAATTACGCGATTCAAACATTTTTTTCTCTCGTCGCGTATACGCGGAATAAAGTTATCCTGTCGAGTTTGATAATATCAGGGGCGGTTTCTCGAAACGGGAGTAAACGTCAGGATGCCTTTTGTAAATGCCACTGAAATTAATAGGAAATTAGAGATTAAAGACGTACAGCTTATAACCAGCGATTGTAAAATTGACTGTACAATTTTAAAAATTAAATATGAAAAGTCTATATATCATTAGAAAATAAAATTACAAAATGTTTAAACATATTATATTGTTGCGTTTGGATGCAACACTATTAATATTTCAATTAGAATATCCGAATACTCTAATTTCAAAAATATCCTGTTCTTTCCTTCTATAATTATATAATAACACAATTGATAGGTCATATAAAATTTATATTTGGACACATTTTACTTTCTCTTTTTCTTTCTTTCATATATTACATATTTATCATACATCCATTCGCTTAATTAACCAATTAACAGCTGTTAAGTAATGATGGCTGAAAATTAACTAAAGAAGCTGTTCGTACGAAATACACATATTATAACATTTTTATTTTACTAATCCCTATAACGCTTTCATGTTGGTTCACGATGTTGATACAAAAAGTAAATCTGTATATTAATATTTAACCGTCACATTTATGATGCTCCAAGAATCATTCGGTTAACCTTTTTTTTTTACTAATCCTTTTTGCCCTCCGTTTGTTCCAGGTGACCGACTCGAAAGATCTGCAGGTGCCCTTCAGCACGGCGGCATCGCTGGGCTACGGGCTGCATCACATGCTGCATCTGCCGCCGCAATTCCTGCATCCGCTCGATCATAGACTGCCCTTCGGCGGCTTCCGACCCTTGGTGCCGTCCGCGTTCGCGCCCCCCAGCAAGTGCCTCAAGGTCGAGACCGGGAACGGCGCGGTGCCGGGGAACGGCGGCCTACCCAGCATCGGCTCGCTCTCGAGCATGTCGAACATGTTCTCGCCCACGTCCCTATCGGGCGCCGGCGGGGGTGCGGTGGTGTCTGTATCCGGTGCGGCGGCCGCCGCGGCCGCCGCCGCCGCCGCCGCGGCCGGCCAGGAAGTCGGCGGGCCGCAAAGTCCGGCCGGTTCCGCGAGCCGTTCGCCTACCGGTACCGGCGGTACCGGTTCCGTGCCGAATCGTGGTGCAACTCCCGACGAGGAAGACCGCGACGCCAACGCCACACCGGGATCCGAGAACACCGAGCGATCCACTCCGGAGGAGGGACGACCGTATAGACGTGAGTCCAATTATATGCATGCTCTCTTGCTTACTTTCCCAAGAGTGGATAATGATCAATACGATGTCGGTGCAAATTTAGTCTCGTGTTTGAACTTTTAACACACTTGTATGTTTGACCTTTCCCGCTTCTAATTACCTATGCTCAATATTTGATCATTTGTATTGATCGTTTCTCTCTGTTCTTCGCGCGATTTTAATATTAGTTTCTTAACACGCGGTTACTCGCTGAGCTTTGTTAATACATTAATGAGACGTCGCTTCGAGAAAAGCATAAAATGTCACTGAAATCTTCACGTCAACCCCCAATCGATATAAATCTCAGAGACAAACACGCGGATTTTCTCCGTTTACGATAAACATTCTCCCTGTTAAACAAACCCAGCTGCGTATCCGAAATTTTCAAAACATACCGCGTATATCTTACGAGATAAGAAGGAAACACACATGCCGTATTGTTTGAGAACGCTCGATCTTTCTCGAGTCGCGGGCGGTCGGGGTGGACAATCCGTATATTTTTTCGCCTTGACCCCGACGTACGGGCCGGGTTAAAGCCGGCTACACCAGGAGAGCGGAATCATCGAGATTTGTGTGCTTAATCTACCTAAGTCGTTTATTTGAGCCCCCGGGCAACGTAACAGCTGTGCCACGGAACATCCCTGAAGAGACGCGTTTACGCATGCGGAAGGCTTGTCCTACCCTCCCCCCTCTCTCTTTCTCTTTTTCTTTTTTCCTTCTACGGTGCGTTTGTTTATTTTTCGCCGTTGTCTTAATTACCGAAAGATAGAGCCATCCATTTTTCCTCGGTCGCGTCGCCGCCGCCCGCTTTTTCTATGCTTTTCAACGTATTCTTTCCTTCGCGTCGCCGAGATTATTTGTCATTTTAAATAGTATTATACGATATAAATAAATTCTCTGAAAAATTTAGGTCAGATTTGATTTAATTTTAAACAAATTGTTTAAAAGATTATCTAAGCGCATAAAATATGTAGTAAAATATTTGATTTTTTATTATTTTATTATGAAAGAAATACTTATTGATTGTGATTGCTGTAAAATTTGAATTGTTTTTTTTTTAATTTGTGCTTATTTCTGATAGCTGTATAAATTTTCTTTTGTCTTTCTGAATGGAATAATCTAGTTTATTCCGTTTGTGCTAAGCATCATTATATGAGGGATGTGAAATAGCTCTATTTTACTGATTATTTTTAAACAAACTGTTGTTTTTGATGACTCTTTGAAAAATGATTCATATTTCTTTTTATCATTAAAAGTATAAGATAGAAATAATCTTTCCCAAGATAAAAGTACGAGCCAAACCCGGCAACCTCGTGAGAAATCGTACGTTTTCTCCTTGCAAATTAACCGTCGGCGAAAAAGCGCGCGCGCGATGGTCAGTTCGCTCGCTTTTCGCTGGCTAATTTTCGTTTGATTGCCAAAGAGAAAAGGGGTTGGAGACACACGAAAAGTCTCCCCCTTCTGTTCTCTCTCTCTCTCTTTCTGGCTCTGTTTTTTTTCCCGCGTAGTTCGGTGCAGAGATAACGATGCCCTTTGACCACGTCGCCGCGCACCGTGCCGCTCGAGTGCGACGTTAGCGCGTTGCTAATTAGTTGATACCGACTTTGTGGCGATGCACGGCATGTTGCGTCGCGCAACAGGGGGGACAGTCATTGCGGAAAATTACTCGCATGATTGAGAACGAAGAGTCAATTTTAATTGCGGAAAACGCTGTATGAGTTTTTTTTCGAATTACAGCCACTTTCGCGCTAATTATTTGAATAAGTTCTATCATTTAAAGGAACATAACAATTTTCATCGTCGGGCTGAATTTCTTGTTATTTATGGAAATCCCTTTGACGTATGAAAATTTATCATATGCGAACCGTGATTCGTGATGATGCGTCGGAGATATTATTAATATATTGTTTGATATCTCAAACGTTCGACGCGCTAATATGTGAATTGGCCGGGTACGTACCTATTTTATACTCCATATATAGTGCGGTATTTTCATTATACACTCGCGCCCTTTTTGAGCTGCTCCGTGAAGGGTGCACATAGAGACGCGCGGTTGACATACACTCGCGCACGTGCTTCATCGCTATTTATGGCAAATAATCATACGCTACTGTATCGCGCAATTTACATTGCGTTTGTTTGACTCTAATGGCGCGGCAAAAATATCAAGTTAATATTGACTCGTGTCTGTAATGCGCGTGTGTTTGACCGCATCCACTAGTTGCTACAATCGACTATCATCATTTCAATAATCGTCGTTTCTAAATTTTATTATTGGTAAAAAAAAACACGATAAGAGAACACGAGAGATGTTTCTGCGAAATTAGTATCTACAATTTCTTAATAACATTATGATGGTGTTATTAAAGACACTTGCTATTTTTTTTATCTTTTTATGTGACGCATATTATTCACATTTGGAATGAGATTTATTATCGCATTTTATTATTATATCAAACACACGGAGAGAATTTTCTTTTAAAATTTATCCTGAAAATCATGTTAATTGTGAGACAATATAGTATTTAGGTAAATTTTACTGTGCACTACAATAAATTTTATTGCGAAATCTTATTGTAGTGCACAGTAAAATTTGTCTAAATACTATATTATCCCATAATTAACATGATTTGCAGGGTAAATTTTTAAAAAAATTCTCTCCGTGTACCATTTAAAATTTTCAATCCCTCTCTCCCCTCCCCGCTTCCCTCTGGAAGATTGAAGTTGGTGTTTTCAAAGTTAAATAATAGATTTCATGATGCCATTGTTATCCTATAAATTTCAATCTGATATCTCAAACCTTAGAAATTATACAGGTGGCCTGTTTTAAGCGCCTCACCCTGTATAGTCACAGACATTCACGCGCACACACATGCACGCGCACTTAAGTTAGCGGCCATTCCGAATATACATTCCAAATAAACATTAACTTAAGTACATCTTGTTTGGCCTGCATCGATTCACTAGAAGCACAAGGTGAAAAGAATAGAATGCACTCTCGGATAGTGCAGGTCAGGTTTCAGAAGCCTTATTCTTAGGTGCCGTTGCAACATATGACAAGATGATCTCTAATAATGTTTCCTACGCCGTATTTCTGATTCTGCATGTCCGGCAGCATATCTCTGCACAGCACGGAGTCTCTGCCGTAACGTCTATCAGTAAGCAAATAACTGCCCGTAGATTGACAGCAAATTTGTTCAGATATTGACAACAGATCCGGTATCATCTGTCTGTGTTTTGCTGGTAAAGCCTATCAATATCATCTGATAGCAAATTGCTGCCAGTAGAAATCAAATTATGTCATTCTGTAAACATTTAAGTGGAACACTATTTAAAGGGTTACGGCAGAGTCTGCTTAATTTTTGTTATTATATTCTGTTAGCAGATTCTGTTATATTTCTGCTGGTATTCTGTTGACAAAAAATTTTTAACACGCTTCAAAGTCTGTTCTCGACTGATTGCTATCCGAGAGAGTTGCAAGTATTAAAATATCATTTCATTGAAATAATAAACAGGAAGTAGGCTTGTAGCTTAAAATCAAAATTGAAATAAAAGAGCATAAAAACAAAGCAATATCTAAGTACTGAATAATGTAGATAATAACACATAAGTATATAATGATATAAATACAATGCAAACAATTTGAATCTTACATTAAGTCTTTTTTAATGTCCTAACACTAAATTACAAATTAAAATTATGTTGATATTATTTAGTCTATTGTCAAAAAGCATCAAATTATAAAAAAAAACAAATAAATGTAAATCTCTATTTAAAATACATGTCTCACAAGTCAACGAGTTATTTTCGTGGAACTTGGACTTTTTTGTCATAAGAAACGGACGATGTAATTCTCTAGTAAATACTTCAGTTGATTTTGCTTGTTCGACTCATTAATGTTATGTTTTTACATGCGCAGATTTTGCCGAATGATGCGAGGGCGAGAAGACTGTTCGTAACATCTGGCGGCTTGAAAAAGGTACAAGAAATTCAAGCTGATCCTGGTACCACCCTCTCGGAATACATAACAATTATTAACTGTTGTTTCCCGGAAGAGATCGTCAGGTTATTTTCCTTTTTTACATCCTCATAGTTTAATAACATAATTAGAAAAATATCCTTACAAAACAATTCTACCGAATATGTTTCTCTGTCTGTATTATTATTTCTCAAAATTGCATTGATATCACAATTATCTTCGATTCTCTTTGTCGAATCTTATATACCATACCAAAATTCTCTCTATTAATTTTCACTAATTGCAGTATTCTTTGTCTTGTAAAAGGTTATAATCAATGCCATTAATTTATAATTAACTACGCACTATACAAATGATTTGTGTCGCAGTGATTAGATTTTACATACAAGGATCAGGATGAAAGTCTAATTTCTTTAAGAGAAAAATGATAGATATTTGTGATATGCAGCAAACGTTAATAGAATGAATTAATTACTGTAAACACTAGTTGCTCATATAACCTTTTTTCTGCCATGGTTGATATACTTACGCAGTAGGTAAAGGCAATGTGCTCTCGTGTCTATTAAAAATCCAAGTTAACACGCGCCACCATCGTTTACGCTGCCCGTGTATGCAAATAACTGTCGCGGCTCCGTTTCTGGATCCCTAGTGTCTTAATTTAAATCGACCGAGTGATAAACAGCATGTCCGCCATGTTATCACAGCTGATTGCTGATTCGAAGTGTATACATATGCGTGGCGCTCGAAACGCGCTCGTGCATGCTGGATCAATAAATTGCTCTATTTATTTTCACGAGCAACAGAAACTAAATTAATAATTTCTTCGCTTTTTATTTAGATACATATTATACCTGAAGAGCTTAGCTCACATTTGTTCACAATCTCATTTTTTTTCTATTAATAATTCATTCTAATCTGTTTACGTATCAATCGATAAAGAGGATAACATTCTTATGAATGTTCGTTTTTAAGGCCGGATTCATAGTCTGTTCTTATTTCAAAACCGTCTTAACCCTTTGAAGCATACATTTTTCCTTACCTACGATTAACTAGAAAATTAGTACTCGGGAATTTTCGAGGTTGCTAATTACGAATCTGAAGTCAAAATTTAAAAATTTAAAATGGCGGATCTGAATTCGAAAAACAATGCAAATTTTATGAAAATGTGTATCTAGGGGTTCTTGGAGTCGCTGATTACGAATCCGTGATCAAATTCCCAAAATTCAAGATGGCGAACTTAAATTTGAAAAACAATGCAAATGTCATGAAAATGTATTTCTGGGGGTTCTCTGGATCACTGATTACGAATCCGTAATCAGATTCCCGAAATTCGAGATGGCGGATCCAATATATGGCGACTATATAATCCGAAAAACAGTGCTGATCTAGTGTAAAATCGCTGAACCCCCGGATATACATTTTCATAAGATTTTCATCGTTTTTCAAATTCGGGTCTACCATATTGGATCCGCTATCTTGTATTTCCGAAATCTGACCAGGGATTCGTAATCAGCGATCCCAAGAACCCCCAGAAATACATTTTCATGACATTTGCATCGTTTTTCGAATTTAAGTCCACTATCTTGAATGTCGGGATCTGATCGCGAATTCGTAATCAGCCAAAAATCCTTGAGGAAGATCTTTGTGTGGAAACTGAGAACTTTCGGAGATAATGAATTTTCTCCAGAAAAATTGAAATTTTTTAATGTTTGTTTATTTGTATCACCGACGAGATACTCTTAAAGACCAACAGCCTTACGGGCGAGTTAGCGTAGCAATTTAGTAATTGCCAAAATTTAAGCAATTAGTAGATCGGAAGAGCACACG